TGACTATTCACAGTCCCTCTGTCTCTCTTTGACATGGGAGCTAATTTATCCTGGACTCCAGCTCCAGCCTGTTCCCAGTCACCTGTCTCCAGTCACGCTCCTTCAGGAGACACTAGACTAGACACTAGACACTAGACACAAAACCACCAAGAGCCCGGTTCCAGGCCCTGCCCGTCCCGCACAGCCTGCCCAGCCTGCCCAGCCTGGTCACTGAGACCCACTCCCGCGAAATCGCTCCTGGAAACACCGAATACAGACGCCACAGCAGGAATTCCTTCTGCTCAGCTGTAGCCTGCCTGTCCAGGCAGCAGTGTGGAGTGTGGAGAAGGGAGTAGGGATTAAGGAGTAGTGAGTAGAGATTAAAGAGCAGTGAGTAGAGATTAAGGAGTAGTGGTAATGAGTAGGAATTAAAGAGTAGTGAGTAGAGATTAAGGAGTAGTGGTAGTGAGTAGGGATTAAGGAGTAGTGAGTAGAGATTCAGGAGTAGTGAGTAGAGATTAAGGAGTAGTGAGTAGAGATTAATGAGTAGTGGTAGTGAGTAGGGATTAAGGAGGTTGTGAGTCGAGACTCTGGACTCACAACTAGAGAGCTGTGGGCTCCAGATCTGGCTGGGATGATGCTGTGGTTCGATGATGCTGTGGTACCCCTGACACAGGGGCTTTACTCCTGATACCTCCAGTTTCAGGGTTATTACAGACAATATTTGGTTAGAGAAAGGCTTACACCTAATTTTTTAATTCTGCATTAAAAGAAAAGGCAGATTTTTATTGTGATTTGAAATAAAGGACAGAGTGTTACATCAGTGTTTCAGAACGACCACACGTGAACTTCTCAGTCAGTTCAGGACCTGCGCTCTGTTAGCAGGGACAGACCCAGCACGCCTGCAGGCAGGGAGGGTGACATTGTTTATCCTGCTTGGTGGGTTAGAAGTGGAAGGTACAGGGATAATTTTGCATTGTTTTCTTATCATGAACATTACCATCAATATATGCCATTTGGCCTCATCTACATGACAGATATGTTTGCCCAAACTTTGCACAGAATGAGCTGCAGAACAGACAGGCACATTATTAAGGCCTCAGACTTACAAATACCGATTCTACACCAGAGGGCGCTGGTGAGCCAAGGATCCCTACTAGTTGTGTTACCACTCCTCCGCACCAGAGGGCGCTGGTGAGCCGAGGATCCCAACAAGGGGGGTAACAACCCCCCCCAACAAAAGGCGCTGGTGAGCTGATGATCCCCCAGCTGCTGTATGACCACCCCGCCTCACTGATGCTCACCCTGTGCCCCCCAGCTGTGACCTGCACGAGAGCAGGCAGCTCCGCAGGGAGGTCTCTGACCGAGGAAGCGCCCCGTACGGGGCTGCGGGTTCGCCTGCCGGTACAGAGCGGTCCGTGCGAGCGAGCGCCGCGCTCAGTCCTTCTTCCTGTCGTTGAAGAAGTCCTTCACGTCCGTGATGCGCTTCTTCAGGTCGGAGGCCGTCTGGAACACGGCGCTGGCGGCCCTCCTGGCGGCGTCCTTGGGCCCGTCCGCCTTCAGCGCCGCGCGCACGCCC